CTAGAAAAAGTGCATCAGTCCTATCGTGAGATCGTTTCGTTCGACATTTATAATGAGGAAAATAGATGAAAATAAATGTCCGTGCTTTCTGTTCACACTATCACATCGCAATATGTATTGCTGTCGGAGCGAAGAGGTGAAAATCAATGCGCAGTTTAATAATCAGAGACAACCATTGACTACGGTCACAGTGAGAGAGGAATATATATATATATATATTTAATTATTCAACACGTAACCAATTGAATAGCATTGGCAAATGTGCCTTAACATATGAAGAAAGAAATGCGAAAATGGTTCAAATACAAATCAACGTATAATAGTCTCAAAACAGGTGGGCTATTGATGCTGGTTACCAGCCGTGTTGGTTAGTGTATCAAGCCATCGATTTTCACTGTCCTTGGGGCCCCAACTCGGGAGCCTGGAGCGTTTTATTACTACCGGTGAAGGACCAACAGTGTACTCACCTTGGATGCAACGGAGATGAGACTAATCCCTCAGTGATTGGAACATTAATGGGGGGGGCGTTTCTTGAAGGGTTGTCAAACTTTATTCGGGCTGAATGGTTTCAGTGTTTAATGGGTTTTAATAAGGAAGTTAGTTCTCGGACAAGGCTTACTCTGGCGTCTTTGCAAAGGGCCGGAGGGAGCTCATCTTGGCCGGGCGACTTCTTCCCCATTGGATGGTAAAATGCCCAAGAACAATGAAGCACTGGGTATATCAGTGGATGGAGGCGATGCTGTTGATGGCCAACTTAATTGTTGATGGAAGTGCTCCGCCCAGCGCCCAAGCCAACATCGTAGATCGTGGATAAATGGACCATTAGTTCCGCATATGGTTTCACTGCCGCATGGTTTTTTCGTTATCAATGGCTCGGATTGGTCGAAAAAGTTTGTGAGCATTACCGGAAGCAGAGATTAGTTCTATCTCGGAAGCACTTTGTGCCCACCAGGTCTCTCGGTCCTCTGTTAGGAACTGTTACGGTTCAGCACTGAGGTTCCTACGAACGTTATTGCATTCATTCCCCGGGGAGATCCCTCGACGAGTGTCAAATATTTGGAGAGAATGTGCAGAAACTCAGTGGTTGACTGTGCGTTTGCTGGGAGACTTATGCATGACGTTACGGATGTAAGCCCAATGGCTATCAACGTTCCAGGTCGACATACTGTCTAGATCAGCAATTAGCGTGTGTTGATAGGCGGTAACTATGTTTGGATCGATCAGTTTCATTAAATCCTGTCTTCTCGGATGACGTCGCTATTTTCCACCAAATTGCAGAGCTGGTTTTGCGCAGATGAGTGCATGATCAGAGCTATGACAGGTGCTCTAGATGGATTTGAAGTTTGTTATGCAATTTCTTCATGGATAGTTGATGGCAATATGATCTGTTTGAGTCCAACGTTGATCAGACGCTGGGGATCACCAGGTGGCATTTTGACGCCATGGCCGGCAAAAATTAGTCCTCTAAAGGAAAAGACCATGATCAGCCTAGATTCGCACCGAGGCTATGCTGACCCCCAATTGAGCTTTCGTGAGCGTCTAACTTACCTACGTGAGCGTTCAAGTGGCCAGCTAGTCTCACAATATGATTGTCATCTACTATGTAAGAGGTTAGTGAGCTGATGATAGAACTCGTCTTTTGTTCAGTGGAGTAAGAAAAACTAAGAGACACGAGAGCGAACAGTCCACATTCTGATTGACGGAGATATTAAACAGTTAATAAGTGTTTCTACAGGTTGTTCTGGAAGAAAGGGAGTACTGTAGAAACGAATGTTCACATTTTACTACACTCTAATTTTGAACTACATTTAAGGTGTTACGGCTTACAACTGAGTGATTTGTGTTCACACATGCCTGTGATCAAATTGATTGATCGATCGATCGGTTGATCGATTGACTGACTGTTTGAATGCTGGCTTGACGGCATTCGCATGTACTGCAACATGTGAGCCGGACTCTGCCTGCCTGCCTGCCTTCCTACACGCTGATCGTTCCTACTTGTTCCCGGGTTTGAGTACCGGCTACATATTTGCTGTTTACAATAAACTTACTGCTTAATTCATGATCATCTTACTACTAAATTTTGGACACCACAGAGGGTAAACACTATTTCCCAGAACAAAAAGAGAAACACAGAGTGGAAAAACGTTCAATATATGACCAGTAGGTTGGGGATGAAAGAGAGTAGCGAAAAGGGAGGACATATCTCACAATATAATTGCTCTGAAAGGAGAGATTGACTGCTGTTCATCTGTGTTGCACATGTGCACAAACACGTGGTAAAGGAAACTGACAACCTGGATGCAAGACTGGTGCGAATGAGGACATATGGAACAAGCTGGTTGAAGCAGAAAGCACTGGTGGCACAATAAAACCACGGCTGGTGCCAGAGCGTAGCGACTGTAAGCTAGATGGTAAGAACGATTCTTTGATATAGCGAATCGTCTTACGCCGTACACAGTCGAGTGGGTAGACTGAAGAAGACAAAGAAGCAGCTCACAGATAGCCACAGTACACAAGAGTGGGGTGAATCGCATTGCACCGGAACAACTTAAGCAAGCACAGCGCACAGTTCTGTTAAAAAGGTTTGATATGCCCACCATCACATCCAATTTATTACTACTGTTGCCACGTTGGCACCCTGGGTGTTCGCTATTCGGTAGTTCTGTTATTCTTGTTGTTACGATGGCACTACGGTTGTTTGCAAGCCGATGATGTATATACAAAATATTTTTCTTGATTCACGAAGTTGAAATGCAATTTATTGTCCAAAATTCAGAGATTCGCTTGTCACCGTCTCTCTCTCGGGCGCGCGCTCGCTCTTGGTGAGTACACGTGGTTGATAGGGCACCGTGCAGCTTATTTATACGCGTATACTAGAGGGAATTAGTCAGAATTCAGAACGCGTGGAGGACTCAAGAATGCAGCGTGGAATTTCGATGCGAAAATGGTGTCCATCTGAAAGGGCGGGGCTCGGGGATTGTCCCTAGTACTCGGGAAAAGATGGTGGGAGTACAGAGAACACTTGTGGCTATAGCTGTTGAGACGAACCTGAGCATTAGGAAGCTACCGTTAGAAAAACGGATTAGGAAGACAAATCATACGGAATAATTCATGGACAATGAGAACCAGCTGGAACTTCGGATCAGGGGACTAAGTCCGCAATCAGATGATTGCCTTTTAAAAACAACAGAGACCACTGACCTGATGTAAAACTTCGTCATGTGTATGCACTAAGGCTTGTTCGGCGCTCTGAAACAGATCATTTGCCTTTTCGCGTTGAGTATACAACTCCGACAGCTCGGAATTTTTGCCGAACAAAAGAATTCCATGTGCCTCGATCAGATTGCGCAAATTGGTCTGCGCAATCCGTACCTGATGATGATGAGAATTGGCAAGCAGATGGAAAAGCAGAGCATCTTTGTGATACCTAAAATCAATTGGACACGAAAACGAATTGACAAACCTCAACAACTGATATTTACCTATACATAACTATGCATTATTTGTATTCTAAACATCACGCTTTTAGTTGAATGAGACTTTCCACTTTTGTGTGTTAATATTTCTTCTTCATTGGTTAACTGGATGTGTAACCAAGAGTCAACAGCCAAAAGTGTCACATGATCCTGTAAAATGGACTAAGGAGTGATGATTTATTTCACAAAACACTCAACAGATCAGTTCAGTCAAAGTTAAAACAAATTCCAAATGGTTTCTAGTCGTTTGCCGGCTGTGTACTGAATAGTTTTAGTATGTGTTAGTCTCCAGTTGGGAATATCATCATTCTGAATCCGGCTAAAACGGGACAGAGAATGAACAACTCTCGGACAAATGGTGTTCGGGGGTATTAAAAATGAATGTTTCAGTATGATTTATCCCATACTGTTACCTGTAAATAATCGTTGATGGAATGTGACTGAATAACACACACACACACACGCACACACACACACACCATCATCATCATCATCCCGTGGGTGAGGACCGGTAGTAAGGTTGTATTGAGTGTTCAAAACAAATTGTTCCTCGTGTTTTGGACTCTTCAAAGCCACGCAGCTGTATCCGACAGTTTTGTATTAACGATTAAACGAGGTCCGTTAAACGAAACTGTGTTATACCGATAGGATCAGATGGACCATTCGGTGAACGGCGTTGACTCAGATCCAGAAAACTGATCCGAATTCGGTGAAATGTAACACATCAGCAGATTCCTCATCGAACAGAATAACCCTAGGCAGAATGTAATAAACTAAGGCGACTAAAAGGGGACGAATGCAACAGTGAAAAACGGAAACAGAGTAAGGACTCAGACAGCATACTTATTTTAGGTTTTGTCATATGAAAACAAACCATGACTTTCAGAGCACACACTACATGCTAAAGTTTCAAAGAAATCCAGATTCCTCGATCTTATTTCGACCATGAGAAAAGTTCGTAATGAAAATTATTTGTAACCACTGAATATGAATAATGTGTAAAAGTAAAAGCTATTCGATAACCGAGTCAGCACTGAAATATTGTTCATGAATATATCGGAAACTAGAGCCAGATCACTACTGAAACAAATTTGCAGACGACAGTAGAGAATGTCTTATCGCTTTTGCTCCAAAACTTTAGTAAGTCTTTTCTGCTGATATTGTCTGATTCTCCATTTAAGGTGGCATTTGTTCCAGCAAAGGAACAACAGGCCTTGCCATTTCCTTGCTTGAGTAAGAATCTTCACAATTTCATTACTCCGCTCAGGATTTGTTCAAATTTTCGTCACAAAACAGAACACGTTCTGGGGAAATGTTCACAGCATGGATTTCGCTGCGTAATTTATGAAGACTGTCACATCTTACATAACTTTTGGTCACAATCGAACCTCATTCGTAAGCTGAAAGTAACGTTTGGAAAACGGATTGCAAAGCTATTGTTAATTCAGTTATGAGAATTTAAAAAGACGATAAATACCGTTCTTTCCTATAGTATCTCTGATTCTACCCTGGCCAAAGAATTGATAACATCACCCTAATATGCAGCTGTTGCATTACTAAAAATGTGAGTAATTTAGGATATATCCTGTCACAATTCTAGTCAAACATCACAGTCTTCGAGTTACGCCATTGTGGAAACATGGCCTAGATTCACCACACGCGATATCTGTGGTCGGAAACAGCATACTGCAACAGCGGGCTTGCAACATCAATGATTACGTCAAAAATGCAACATATCAGATATGCAAGCAATGACATGAAAGAGTTTATGGCATGACAATCAGTTGTACATTTAGTTCCATTATGCTGAATGCCGGAATACTATTAGTAAATCTCATCCACAAGTGTAAAGGTTAGAGTGACATGTTGTTGTACCCGCTTTATCGGGTGAAACATTATGATAGCCAAAACCCAATTGCATACCACATTCTTTAATCCACAGATCGGAATGTATCACGTAAGGAAGGATAATTGTACAAGTTTAAGTTCAAACTTTTGTCCGTTGAGGAACCCAGTGAGAAATATTAAAGTCGACCGAATGGTTGAGATTAACCACATAAGTGATAATGCTAGGTTGGGCGTATTCATTTGTTCAACTTTGAAACATGTGCATCATCGATGTGATGAAGAAGTCTTGACTCAAATGGGAGCTTCTTCAAAACCTCCCGTTGAGATCAGTGAAACCGCTCAATTGGCTACATTTTTTCTAATAGGTCCAAATATATCTCAATTCTATCCGTTTTTCGATGAGGTGGGTATTATTTGAATGACGAATGATGGAATTCACAATCTAACTTGGTTTCTAGGGCTAAACCAAACGGACGGGTTTAGATAGAGCCGCACTGATGGCGTTTATTGAGTGTTATAATGAATATTTCCATGTGGTTTGCTTGAATTTATTTGCTTATAATCCATAACAAGGTAACTGAATGATTTCACTTTGTATGTTCGGACATGTTACTGCTCTTGCTAATCAGCTGTCATTTATGTATTGTGTCCCCTGGCAGATTGAACCAAAACAGCCTGTAAAAGTAAGTGTTACCAAAAATATGCCGTAAAGCTTGAAGAAGATTCTCTCTTACCAAGGAGGCTGCATGCTAAGAGAACAAGGGTAGGCAAACTAGCGTTATTGGTCGGAGCCGTAAACCAATCAATACGGTTGACAGCAATCCAGTTAACCAATCGCTGGATATATTCATTCACATGTTTTCTCTCACTTCCCTATAATTAAACATGATTTTTGCATAATAAAGGAATTTCTACAAGTCTCCAACTCTGTTCTATTTCCCTTCCCGTGGAGTTCCTATCTGTAAGAGAAACGTTACCGGAAGGTTATCCTTTTGAGAATCGAAAAGTGAGTCAAATTCCGTGTGGTTTCAACATCTCTCTCTTTAATTCCTTTCCGTGAGAGTATCAGTGTATGAGTACAATCAGAAGTACCACATAAACAACTCCTCGAGTGTCAGATTGTACCATACAGTTTTCGTTTTACACCCAAGACAATTATTACACTTTTACATGGTCAGTTTGGCTGCTGTCTTTCTACCACCGGCTTAGTCGACAAGTGAGGAAAGTGAAAATGGGAAAAGCAAACATTAAGAATGCCACAAAAATAAACGACGAAAACATAAACTGGATCGATGAGGCGAGTGATTTAACGCACGAACACCACTGTCACTGGTATTCAGCCACATCATTCGATGTCTTTCAGCACTGATTCGCTTAGTCACCGTGTCTTCTACCAGGCAAAGTTTTCATATCTTTAGGCCAAGTTCAAGTTTGACTGCACTTGGTCTTCTCCCAGTCTTTGCTAGTCTACATCGCATGCCAAAGAAGTATAATCAATGAAATTCTTAACACATGCACTAGCCATCGCAGCACTGGTGTCCTTACGTGATCGTGACTAGCTAGTACTTTGTCTAACCTTGACATTGCTTGTCTGGTATAAGCACTAGACACATTGTGGCCTAAGCAACCGCGCTGGAACACAGCCAGTGACTGTTTGTCCTCCAGCCATAACGGTCACGTCTTTGCATCATATGGCAGCATCGAAAAAACTGCTGCAATGTACCTTCAACATTGCACTAACAGCCGGGTGTGTTGCCGTGGCGAAAAAGTTATCTCTGCTTGCAAAAGCCAAAAGAGCTTTGTATGTGTGCCAACACTTTAACTTGTATTCGATACGCAGGAAAGGTGCAGCTTCCTAAGAAGCAGAATGTCTGATATTACCCTTTTCCGTCACAGTTGAAGGTAAAAAAAACATGCAAAAAATAATTACACTAACACTCAAACCAAAGTTTACAGCTTAGATAGATCTCCCCTCAGCAGTACAATACTGTTTGGGTACTGCAGATATAAAAACTTGTCGCCTGGAAGTCTCTCTATGTCGGTGTCTTCGAACGAAGACAGTGTCGTCTTGAAAATCATATCCAGTACAAAGCTTGACTGAGAGGGACCACGGATTGGAGTCTGTCTTCGTTTGTTCCCATGCATGGATCGTCGTACAGAATGTACACACACACAGACCGGTATTTAACCATTTGGTATCTTCTTTGATCCTTAATGCTTAATAATGGTTCATCAAGTTTAGGATAGACAGGCGGAGCAGACAAGGGGGCTGTAAAACGGCCCGATTGGTGATACCGGTTGCGAATAAGGAGAGCAGCATGAACCACAGCATGTTCTAATCGCAAATCCCACGTTCAGTACGACCGTTTCCTGTTTTACAAGAAGCATACTATGACTACCCGAGTCCGAGTAGAATGGCACAAAATATTGATGCAAACAACAATAGAAGCCGAATGAAAAAAGAAAAACAGTTTGGATAACGGACACAAACCTCCTCCGATTTTTCCTCCATTTCCCGACGCAGACTGCTATTGGTCTCGTACAAAGTGTTGTAACGCATCATCAGACCAGCGAGCACATTATCGGCCAGTTTGATATAATCTATTCTGAGATAAGTAAAAATTGCACATGTTAAAGCAATTGGTACTGAGTGTACTCCACCATGTCTAGTGAAACCTTTTTATGCGAAACATCCATCGCATGTACTACGAGCCGAACCAACTAGTCAAATCCATATCCAGCCCACAAGTGTTTCGAAGGTAGTTACAGCAGCTCGTCAAAGAGCAACCAAAAAAGGTCAGACACCGATCATCGTAGTTGATTGCTAATAAAATGAACAAATTTGAACTGAACGAATGGGGATAAACTATATGAGAGATATGTTAACTCATTTACTAACTATGACTATTGATTACATAGTTTGCCAATCATAGTGTTTACATAAATCATGTCAGTGTTTGGATTCAGTATTATGATCTCTTGCATCATGTTATCTCCACCATTGCCTAACTCTGGTGTTAATTCCAGCAATATTATTAAGTTAGAAATGGGAAAAACGCACGGGAATAAGAGGAACAGAAAACATCACAAGCAATAAAGAGAAAACAAGATGATAGTACACACTCACAAAAATCATTCTTGAATATGAACGCTACTTGACTACTTGGTAGAAAAAACAACTGCTAGACTGGCTTTACAAAGTAGAGAATTCTGCGATTATTTATATCATTTCAATTTATGATGTTCCGAACTCCGTGTAAGATGTTTTGTCTTGAGTAAATGAGGATAAACGTTGGAAAAGATGCCCTGGATCAAGTGAAGATTCTCCACAAGGTGCTGTTCACACAGCGCTGGATATCCTAAATTGATAACGGCGCACATTAGATTGGCATCTTGAAATATTAAGTTGAAACCGGGACGTCTTAAATTGATACCGTCATCTTAAAGCGCAAAAGGTAAGGACGAAATGATGCATTCGCACTGATTACGTAACATTATTTTGACCGAATATCGGGCCTAATTTTCATTTACTAGGCCAAAATTGGCAAAGTGTAATCTCTATTGGACGCATAAAAATAAAAAAACGTCTCCGGCTGTATTTTTCGTATCAATCAACAAAGAGCACGAGCATAAAATGAGCTTGTTTTTATGTTCAACCAGTCAAACCAGTCAAATTACTTGATGAACTACTCATTAGTAAGCTAATGATTCATTCAAATTTAGATGGAAACCGTCAACCCTCGAATTACGAGCATATGAGGGATCGACAGGCTCCGCAGAGACCGTCTGTAATAACCAAAGAAGTTCACCCACCTTTAGGTAATGATGCAATGACACTTAACATGTATTGTTCGTATTTGCGAAGGTCTTCAACTTTGGCATTTAATTCTGAATAGCTATAGAGCAAACAGAGAAACGGTGTGGAAACAGAAATCATTAGGTGCAGAAATTCCAGTCACCGTTTTCAAGATAAACACAACTGAACTCTGTGTTCGATCAACGATTAGTAGTTGCAACTTATCAGTGTACTTACAGCTGTTTGGCTTGACGCAGTTCTGTGTTCAGCATGTGTTTTTCTTTCTTCCGTACCGAGCACAAATGGTTGTCTTCGCAAAATTTCTGCAATGCGCGCCAACGTTTGTTGTCATTATCCCGTACAATGGCTTCTGATTTTAATTGTCGTTGATGCAAATGTTCCAGTTCTTGTTTCAGATTGTTCCGCCTCTCGGAACTAAGAACCATTTGTTCCTGGATGGAAAAGCACAAAGTACTTTATCACCCGATCCCGTTAACTTAACTTGCCAACTGATCCGACTGGAGAGCGTTCTAACCGAGGATAGTCAAAGATCAAAGATTTATTATGGGAATAACTTACAAGCTCATGCTTTTCTCGTCCCATAGGTTCGTGTGGTGGTTAAAAAGCATACATACATACATACATACATACATACATACATACATACATACATACACACAATTCCTTGTGTAAAATTTCACGTGATACGTGCTTCTTCCACTGCAGCACGCAGCTTCAATTATGTTGGAATGTAAGGTGTGCTAATGTTTCATCGAGTCTCAGTTTGAAACATTCGATGTCTGGAGTATAGACGACTTAGGATGGGAGAGAGTTTCAAATCGAACACACTCTGACTGCAAATACAACATACACAGAGAACCTTATGAAAGTGTACCGCAAAAATCTGTCTTCCAGTGAGGGTTATACTTTGCCAGTTAGCAGAGCGGAGATTAAAATTCTTTCAGTTACCATAAAGACATAAATTCATAATATTTTTAATGATTCTTACAACAATGTTTTTCTCTCCAACTGGAACACATTTTTGTCTTTAACTAAAAACCTATAAGTGCTTGGAAACCGCGCCAGTGATATTTTATCGTGAGTGCTTGTATCCCACTGGAACGTTTTGGTTCATGGTATTTTATTTGCTTTGTCTTTCAGGTTTGGTTTTAACCTCGACCCTCGGAAAACCTACCTGCCAATGTTTCCTCGCCACCCTGTCGCCGTTCGTTGCCCAAGAAGCCTCGAATCATCTCCAGCTGCAAGAACACGAGCCGAACGATATCCTATCACGCACCTCTATTTGCTTCGCTGCCCTGCGAGGGCCCGAAGTACGTTCACATTACATAATCAAATCAGGCTGCTCACGTACTCAAGGTCACTAAAAAGACGGACCGGTTGAATGCCTACTCCGATTTTCACGTTTTATTGGAGCTGGATTGTCAACAAGAGGCAGTTTATTTTCGGTGCAGCAATCATATCGTAGTTTTCGATGCCACATGCTTATACAGTTATTTATAACATGTTTTGTGTCACGTAACGCGTAAATCTCACAGCTGCCTAAGAGCTTGGAGAAGGACCACGAAAGTGTATACAGAAAACCATGACTATATATTACAGCCGCAATTCTTTCCCTTCATTTAAAAGTACTGTCTCATGGAAACTAGGCGTCAGTGAATTAATTCCGACCCGAAGGTATGGTAGTAAGCTCCTTCAGTAAAGCCATTTGGAACAATCGAAAGAACAGTATTGGGTACAATTAAACAAGCTTTACCGAGATACGATTTCTCGACGCATAAAACTATTTAAAATCTAACAAATATCGAAAACTGTCGAAATACTCTAAAGGAAGGCTGTCTGAAAATATTGAAGCTTATGAACTGAATGGGACCATAACCTTAGTTTTTGAGTTTACAAAACCACTGGGTTCAGTATCGGAAAGTGCATGATTTATGGATGAAGCGTTTGAGTCATTTATTTAAACGCTTGTCAAATTTGCTGACTTGGGGGTTAACGAGAATTTACATGACACTTTATAAGTTGCGCGTTTTTCTGATAAGGGTGAGCGTTACTGTAGTTATTATAGACATCTTTAGTGTGCAATAGTTTCTAGAAAAATTGGGTTGATACCAATGTCATCCTAGCCGGAGAAGCAACAGAGAATATAAGGTTTTCGCTACCTGATTCTCAGAAGAAGCGCCAGTATATGAACAGAGAACTCCTCCGGAATTTGCTGGGTTTTGGTAAGTATCTATAAGCAATCTATCTGATCTCGCTGTAAATAAGAATGAATTAAAATACAATAATGAACTCCACTACATTAATGGTGCTTAAAACTAAAAAAAATTAACAGAGTCGGAAAACGGTATGCATACATGAGGACGAGAAACCAACACAAAAGCTGCAAATAGAACGATTCTTCTTTTCCATATAAAACTGACTCAGTCACTGAGAAGTATTAATTAAAGATCAAAAATAATCTTTTAAAGGGAAAATAAACCACTATAAGGGACAATTTGAAGTAAGAATAGAGCATACCGACCAGGTTTAAGATACAGTGAGTTAACTTGGTACAAGTCATTTCAATTCTGTATAATATGCACTGAGCAGGAGGTGAACACAGAACATCTCACATTAAAGAATTTCCGTTTCTCCCAAAGTTTCTGAGTGGCATCGGCAAGCCTGTCAGCGCGACGTATGATTGGATCTTGAGCCTGTGATCGAGGAGTTCCCAGCGACTTCTGGGCTGGAGTGAACTTTCTTTTGTTGGGAGTGCGGTTAAGCGGGGTGGTGGAACTGCTCTTCAAATTTGGTTTCTTCTTCACTGTCCAGCTGTTTTTCAATAAACATGAAAACATAAAGATCTGAAACAATTAAAAAGGTTTCATCCATTTCTTGTCTTTGATAACGAGTCGTCATTATTTTGAAACAATCCGGTGGTGTAAATGCCAACATGCAAAAGTTTCCGAGATCTTTGGGGAATGTTCTAATACGCAGACTGACTGACTATACGCGAAGAAATTAAGTTAAACACCATAAATAATAAACCGTGGTAACACTAATACGAACTATCCCTTGATTTCCCTATTGAGGTGAAGAATATGTATCAAACTGTATCAAATTCAAATTAGAACAAAAAAAACAAAGGAAATTATTTTAATTACTTATTATTCTTTTTAAGTTGTCTGTCCCGCGACAGTTTGCATTGGATTCAAAAAGGGAAATAAACTGAACTCGCCGGTATCCTACTTCTATAAAAGTAATATGTGATTACTGAAAATCCAAGAGATAAAACCTGAAGTCACGGCAATCTAGGTTTTGTTAACTTTTGTGGGGCAGCAATGCGAAGATGACAAGGCAAACATCAAGGCAAGATCTGTTAATTAATTAATACCTGAGTGACACCGAGTAGCAGAACGTAAACCATTTGCCTTGCTTAATGAAGAGTGGTATTTTTGTTAATAAAATAAAAAACAATAAAGATGAATGTCTTTTACTTCCTTTTGAATACACAAATGTACAGTCGCCATTCAGGAAGAGGGGCCTCATAAGAGATGCCTGGGAAGACGAGCGGTGGTATAGCGGTTCGAACCCAGGACTTCCAGGTCACAAGTTGGTGACCTAACCACTTGGCCACCATCGCCACATGGCAATATGCTTAAGTAAATGCAGCCACATGAACTTTCACGACCAACGTCCGAACCTTCCTTATTGCCATTTTTATTTCTATTTTTTTTATCACCTCCAAGTATGATGAACGGTAGACAGGGCGAGCCCCATAGTCACAAAGACATGCGGTTCCGTGATGGAAACCGGTAATTTAAGCCCAGGGACGGCTTGGAGTGACGAACCACATAAGACCCCGCTAGGTTAGGCGTGGTATTGAACGGGACGATAGCTTTAAAAATCTAAGCAAGTTACATTTGACAATTACAACAGCTGTGAACTCAATATCAAATTGCAGTCACTAAGACCATCCTTATACTAATCAATAATTTAGCATATTGAAACTCTCAGTATCTGTTACAATGCCATGTTGCGATTTGCGTATTACTCACTTTTGAACATTTATAAAGATTTTTAACTTTATATTGATGAACATTCAATATCATCCTCATCATTATACAACAAGATATTGAAAAGCAAGCATGACAGCAGAGCATCGTCAAGCATACAATATATACAAAGTTTGTACGAAGCTGAGAGTTGGATATAAAAGGGACCTGGTGTGATGGAAGAGCATGGAATTAAACCTCTACGGTCAGCCCATAGAATAAAAATCCAAATTTGCCTGCACGTTTGTAAAACAATGCACAAAAAAGAACAAAATCCTTCTGGTTTCCGGTTTAGTACCATATTCTCAAGTGCCTCTTACGGAAAATTAAAGATTTCTTTGATCCATACGAGAAAGACCAGAGAACCATAGAGAGAATTTAAATTACCGTGCCATCATTTTTCACCCTTTTAAACATATCTCTCTCCGTCTGACTTTCTTTACTGTGGGGTGGTAGCTGGAAAACATGACGCAGTGTGGTGGATGACTGATAGATCTGAGCAATACGTGCCTCAATTAACGAAGGCTGTTGAGCTTTTGAGGATTTATTGTCGAACAATACTGAGTCACCTTGAACTGCTTTCAAAATTCCAATACTTCCTTTTCATTGAAATGAGTAACAGAAATACGGTAGCAGGAAAGTTTATGGGGTTGCAAGAATAACCAGTAGATGCACGAGCGCCACTATTTGCGACACCCAGCCACTGGTGACCATGATCTGGGGGTCTTCATCGAGGGAGCCTAACGGTACCTATGTGATCCAGTGTGATGGTTAGAGTTTTCATACCCTCATATCAGGTTTTTGTTTGACTCTGCTTAACCATCTGCCTGCCTCGGCAGACATCGCGCGCCGTGCCAACCTATTTGGTAACATGCGTAGTCTATGGAGGTAGGCCACTTGTTCCAATGGACGACCGCGATTACCTAAAACTCTGTGTTTAGCCACATCATCGTTTGTCCTGTTTGCCTACCAGATTCGTGCAATGCGGCGTAGATAGCAATATTCGAACACTGACAATCTATTTTTAACCTGTCCCCACAATGACCAAGTCTGCACTGTGGAGCAAAACTGGCCAAACTGCTGCATATACTCGACCCTTTACACACAGACCGCCGGATGCTGCAATAGGATAATGACTATTCAAGCTGAAACTAAATCAGCGGTAGTTGAAGACATTTCACAAAAATCCCGAATGACTAATATAGTAGCACACGGCAATGAAAGGAACTTAGAAAGCAAAGTGAACTTTTTGTAGTCATTGTTCCCTTAGAACTTTTCAGATTTTATTATGTACCGCTTCGATGTTCTGTCTGTCTCAGGTCGATGGGGAAACACGAGCAAAACATTAGTTTTAAAATCATAAATGCCTCATTATGGTAATAAATAAATTG